ATGCGCAGAGCGGTATCTACGGGAAGACAATCGCTTTTAGCAATCTATCTTCCGGCAAATCATTGTCGCGGAAATAGAATCTGCTGGTGCCCGTGAACCACACGCTTCGGCAGGTTTCCCAACCATCCGTCATCGTCAGCAGATCCGATTTTCTTAATGCCACAGACGTTTAAAGCAGGCGATGCGCCCGTCTCTAATGGCAAAACGAAGAGAGAAAAAAAAATGGAGGGAAAGAGAAGAAAATAAAGTTGATGTGTAATAGAAGCGAATAAATAAATAACAGATTATGGCGAAATGTAGACGCACATATATACTCATATATTTAGATATGAGATTATTTGTTTCATATTTTTTTTATTTTATATTTTATATTTATTTATATTTTTTCTTATCATTCTTCTATTTTTTTCCATTTCTCGGGATTTTATTAATATTTTTATCCATCGTTTGATTCGGGTTTTTTTTTTAGGGGGAAGGGATATTGTTCTTTTTTCCGTATTTTTTTCGTTATATTTTTTCGTTTGCCTTTTGTTTTTTCTGATTTTTCGCCTTATTTGCTCTTTTTTTTTACATTCTATTAGTTTTTAATCTCATTCCTTTCTTTATTTCGACTATTTTTTTTATAGTTTTTGTTTCTCCTCTTTTCCTTTCCTCCGACATTTTTACATCTTTGTTTCCTTTACTATGTTTAGACTGTTACAATACAAAAGCCAGAGATACACGGCCACATTGTCTTACGCCCAATAAGAAGAAAAAAAGAAGGTAAGTATTCACAATCTTTAAGTTATTTTCGTCTTTTTTTTGGGTGGGGGGGCTTTGGCTTTGGCACATGGCATAAACGCAACTGACTCAGTCACAATATAATAAACTATATGTGTCTTCCTGTTTGTTTTTTTGTTTTTCATTTTCTTCCTAATTTTTCTTTTTCTGTCTTTCGTCGCGTTCATTCAGATTAACCAATTATTTTTCTTTTCTTTCGTTCACGTCACTTTTTTTTAATTCAATTCCTTCTTTAGTTTTCTTTCTTTTCCTCTTTCATTTACGTTTACTTTTCCTAATTAAAAAAAACACTCATTCATTGGTTTCTTTCTTTGCTATCTAATTCGGACATTTTTATGTCTTTTAATTCATTCTTGCTTTTGTTTTTGTTCTTTTTAGTCTTTTTTTTTTCCTCTCATTTTAGTTTTTCTTTCTTTTATTTTGTCCTCCATTTTCTTTTTCTTCCTTCTTTAAATTTCGTTCTTTATTTTTCTTTTCATAAATTTTTCTCTATTTCTTTTTTCCATTTTCATTCGTCGTTTCTTTTTTCTTTCTTGTCGCCCTTTCATTATTTTTCTTTCTCTTTATTTCTTTCCTCTTTTGTCTTTACTTTTTGCCTTTTCTTTTTTATTTCTCTCTCTACCTTTCTTTCTTTCTTTCTTTTTTTCTTTCTTTCTTTCTGTAGTTCGTTCTTTCTTTATTTTTTATTGATGCATTTATATAAAGATTTTTGCCTTTCTTATAACTTGACTTTTATTGTTCGGCACTTTACTCTCTATACACGCCAACAAACAATTATTTACGAAGTGTATTACAAATCCATCCGGCCTTTCGAGTCACAGCTCTATGCCTGTAATTACATCGGCGAACATGCTTATATTGAAATACCCAATATGATATACAGATATATATATATATATATATATATATATATATATATATATATATATACGTACGTGTGTGTGTGTAATTTGTTTATTCCTTTTCTTATGCATATAAAAGTTCTCTGTTTTAAGTACATCAAAAAGAACTTTTTAGTACACATAAAAATGACATTTTTTTGTTTACCCATCAACAGTCTGTTTCACGCAGTGAGATTTTAAAAATGGGCGTGTGTTTCACTTGGACACGCCCGAACTGTAGCGTTCTTTTCACGTTTTTCAAAATGAATGTATTTCTTTTCTTTTTTTTAATTCATTTATGTTCTAGGATACTATGAGTTTCAGTTTCTCCTTCACACATTGAATGTAAGTTTTTCATCTTTTTTCATCCTATTTTTGTCTTCCTTTTTTCTTTCTCATTTTTCTTCGTTTTTTCTTTCTACTATTCTTTCTCTTTTTTCTTCATCTTTTTTCTCCCTCTTTTTCTTCCTTTTTTCTTCCTCTTTTCTTCTTTTTTTCGCCCTTTTTTTTCTTTCTATTTTCTTTCTTTTGTTGCAATCTATGTTCAAATTGAGTATCTGCTAACATATTCTCTCGCCATTAATGGTAAATTCAATTCTTATTCATCAAAGCAAATCTCTTCATAACAGAATCGATTCAATCCATAATGCTACTGCGTTTCTCGAATTTCCAAAACCTCAACCATCAGCGTTTCCGTTTTTATTTCTTGCTCCTCATCCAGAAATCTACCTAGAAATTCCTCTACTTAGTTCAGTGCTCTCATTGACGCTGCTGTCATCTGGACATTTTCTACTCTTTCTGGACGCATAACTTGTAAGTGAGACACTTACGATATTTCCAAACGATTACATTGAATAAGAGAATTCATTTCTTGCTGTTCTCTTGGCTAACTTGTGATTTGTTATGCCCTCCGGCTTTCTTCATGGGTATATCGATCTTGGTAACCTACAGGGAATTCCGAAAGGAGCCCTTTATATAATATACGGGGCTAGACTTTTCTCGTTCCACTGCCCATGGCTAGGGATATCGTGACTAGTTCTTACTTTATTTAGCACTGTAGAACGAGAATAATCTGTCCCCGTAGATTAAAGAAAACGTCCAGTTCGAAATTGATCTTCTCCTCACTTCTCCTCCCTAAAGTCTTCTCATTCTCTTTCACCGCCTGTAAACCCTTGCGTCTTAGTGGCATTATCGCCATCTTCTGTCTTCCTGAATCCTGTTCCTTTATTGTCCTTTCTCCTCACTTCTCCTCACTAAAGTCTTCTCATTCTTTTTTGCTGCCAGTAAACTCTTGCGTCATTTTCGTCTTTTCATTTTTATATTCCATTTCCGTCTTTTCATTTTTTTAAATCTCATTTTCGTCTTTTCATTTTTTTAATTTCATTTCCGTCTTTTCATTTTTTTTTTTTTTGTTTCATTTTCGTCTTTTCTTTTTTAAATTTCATTTCCGACTGTTCATTTTTAAATTTCATTTTCTTCTTTTCATTCTTAATTTCATTTTCTTCTTTTCATTTTTTTTTAAATTTCATTTCCGTCTTTTCATTTTTTTAAATCTTATTTTCGTCTTTTCATTTTTTTAATTTCATTTTTGTCTTTACATTTTGTTAATTTCAATTTCCTCTTTTCCTTTTTTTTAAAAAAAAATCTTCATTTATATCTTTCATGATGTAATATCTATTTTTATTTTTTTGCCTCTTCTTTTCCTTTTTCCTCTCTTTCTGTAATTTTCATTTGTTTTATTCATGACTCATTCCCTTTCCTTTTTAAAATCCTTTTATTTTTTTATTCTTTTTCATCCGAATTCTTGCAATGTATTTTCAACATTTCTTTTCTTTTTATGGCGTTAACATCTTTTCCTCTTTTATCGTGGCATTGTTTTCTTGTCTTCTACTTTTCAGCCTCTCCCTCTCTCTCTTTCTTTATATTCTTTCTTTTTCTCTCTTTCTTTCCTCTTTTTTCATGGCATTGTTTTCTTGCCTTACACTTTTCAGCCTCTCTCTCTCTCTCTCTCTCTCTCTCTTTCTTTGTTACTTATTATTTTTATAGATCTTCATTCTGGTCGCCATTATTTTGTATCCGCATTTTCCAGCCATCTTTGCAAAAGTAGAAACAACATGGCGTCTAATTGTCACTTGAAGGGTCGATCTGTCAATGGCCGTTCGAAGCTGTGGATTCATGGGAATAATTTGATCATAAAATCCAATTAATTGAACAGACACTCGAATTTATGGGCGTGTATTATTCAAATGGCAATAGAATTATCCTGGAATACATACGCGTAGATAGGTAGATTGAAATATGAATATAATGATATGGTTATTCATACAATTCGAAAACATAGATAGATAGATAGATAGATAGATAGATAGATAGATAGATATGAACAGAATGCGATAGATAGATAGATAGATAGATAGGCATGCACAGAATGCGATAGATAGATAACTGTATTGCTATATATAATAAGCAGATACGCACATGTAAAAATATTACCATAAATCACCTTGTGGTTGAATTAGTTGCGTATTTATCCCTGACGTTAGTCGATCATTGGTCAAATCAGTATTTTGAGAAGAGAATTTCACACTAAGTCATTCTCATTAGGACAATATTTCTTCCCAGTATACTGATCTTATGCCAGACTAATGAAAGCTTTAAAAGGCTCAGGCTCTCATTGCAAAATATAAAAAGTAATTTTGCTGCACCATGTTGGGTATGAACCGAATTTTAGTAGAAAAATTTAAACAAAAGATTATGTGTAAATGTTTCCATTGAAAAACTGGTTTTCAACTGTTTATTCAATCTTAACAATTTGCTAAAAAATTATTTCTGGAGAAGAAATCCATGAGCATATAATTCAAACATTGTTTTTACACCCTTGTGCAAATTAATTGAAACAACCACTTTAGTTTCTTTTCTTTCACCTTACGGTCAGTTTTAAACCCACTAGAGTGACAGGGTGTAATAGACTTCTATTTTTTCCTCAGATTAGGTCTTTTGCTTTGGTGTGCAATAATATGAATCTATTTTGATGGTGTATGATGAAATACGTTTGGCCTTGAAAAATATTGCGTCATCCGTGATTGCATCAGATTTTATCACACCAAGACACTATTGTCTCGACTGTCGATTAGTTGTCCCACGGCCATTGTCTGAGATGTACGTTACTCCAAGGAAGCATACGATAATTTTAATGCTGCACGAATACACTGGCAAGCCTTACCAGTGAGCAAACCAAAGTACTGTGGACTGACCCGGAAACTCTCCTGATTTAAATCCAATCGAGAATCTGTGGTCACTCTGCAAGGAGAGACTTCGTGGAATGGACATACGAAGTACTAACATGTGCACTGGGTCATGTTGCATTGGAAAATACGAAAAATAGTAAATAAAAATGGAATTATTCGTTTTGTTTCAATTAATTTGCACAAGGGTGTTATGCACATCTACCTGTCATCGTGGAAATTTTAAACTCTAAGATACCCTGCATAAAATTCTATTAAAAGAAAGAACTGTGTACGTGTCTATTAAAAGAAAGGACTGCATAAATATCTATTAAAAGATAGACCTGAATGTCTATATGCAGAGAAAACTGTCTATACAGAGTGAGAACTGCACAAATGTCTATGAAGACAAAGAACTGCATAAAATTGTTGATTCAGTTTTTACTGATCAATGAATCTCGACCGAAAGAAATACTGACATACAAAATATATTCAGGGAATGAGTTTGATCAGCCAAAAGAGCGTCGGAATGTTTGAACGCTGATCAGAAACTGATCCCGAATAGACAACTACAACTTTATTGTACAGTAATTTTACTGATGTATTTTTAAACGATTTCTTACTGTTGATTAAATATATCCATATTATTACCCGAAGACCAAACCACAGTTCATGCATTAATGGAATTCCGTTTCTCCATAGCTGAAGAATTGGTTGATTGATTGGTTTGTTTGTATTTTGTTTGCTTTTTACGGTTTATCAACCCATTATTTAAAGCCAGAAAATATTTTTAGATTGTAAGTATTTTTTGAGATCATAATGATTTACTGATACCATTCACACCAATTAATCCATGGATGAGGGGAAAAGAGGTAGAATCATCCGTTTCCCAAGCATATTTGCACGTAAGTGAATGTAACGAACCTGACTGGAATTGGAACACGGTTCTCTGATTTCCAATTCCGAGCCGTTATCCATTACACCATCCGCACATCCAAGCTGACAGAAATTTTTATTCCCAAGCAGTCACCCACCTAGATACTAACCAGGTTTGACGTTGCTTAACTTCGGTGATCGTACGTAAGATGCTGTTTTGATGACTATCTCCAGAAAGGCCAAATAGTTTATACAAGATAACAACTGTATCACTGACAGAGAAAACGATATTGCTGAAAAATTATTCTCTTTTTTTGTGCAGAATAATAAAACCGTTTACAGCCAAGATGATGAAAGTTTGGGGAAAATTTGGAGGTTTTGGTATATTGACAGCGACAATCCACCATCTTCACCAGATCTCGTTCATCCATTTGGTATATTGACAGCGACAATCCACCATCTTCACCAGATCTCGTTCATCCATTTGGTATATTGACAGCGACAATCCACCATCTTCACCAGATCTCGTTCATCCATTTGGTATATTTGTTCATCCATTTGGTATATTGACAGCGACAATCCACCATCTTCACCAGATCTCGTTCATCCATTTGGTATATTGACAGCGACAATCCACCATCTTCACCAGATCTCGTTCATCCATTTCGTATATTGACAGCGACAATCCACCATCTTCACCAGATCTCGTTCATCCATTTGTATATTGACAGCGACAATCCACCATCTTCACCAGATCTCGTTCATCCATTTGGTATATTCAATCCACCATCTTCACCAGATCTCGTTCATTCATTTGGTATATTGACAGCGACAATCCACCATCTTCACCAGATCTCGTTCATCCATTTGGTATATTGACAGCGACAATCCACCATCTTCAGATTCGTTCATCCATTTGATATATTGACAGCGACAATCCACCATCTTCACCAGATCTCGTTCATCCATTTGATATATTGACAGCGACAATCCCACCAATCTTCACCAGATCTCGTTCCATTCCACCATCTTTTGTTCATCCATTTATTGACAGCGACAATCCACCATCTTCACCAGATCTCGTTCATCCATTTGATATTCAGCGACAATCCACCATCTTCACCAGATCTCGTTCATCCATTTGATATTGACAGCGACAATCCACCATCTTCACCAGATCTCGTTCATCCATTTGGTATATTGACAGCGACAATCCACCATCTTCACCAGATCTCGTTCATCCATTTGGTATATTGACAGCGACATTCCACCATCTTCACCAGATCTCGTTCATCCATTTGGTATATTGACAGCGACAATCCACCATCTTCACCAGATCTCGTTCATCCATTTGGTATATTGACAGCGACAATCCACCATCTTCACCAGATCGTTCATCCCAGCGACAATCCACCATCTTCATCAGATCTCGTTCATCCATTTGATATATTGACAGCGACAATCCACCATCTTCAGATCTCGTTCATCCATTTGGTATATTGACAGCGACAATCCACCATCTTCACCAGATCTCGTTCATCCATTTGGTATATTGACAGCGACAATCCACCATCTTCACCAGATCTCGTTCATCCATTTGGTATATTGACAGCGACAATCCACCATCTTCACCAGATCTCGTTCATCCATTTGATATATTGACAGCGACAATCCACCACCATCTTCCATTTGGTATATTGACCGACAATCCACCATCTTCACCAGATCTCGTTCATCCATTTGGTATATTGACAGCGACAATCCACCATCTTCACCAGATCTCGTTCATCCATTTGGTATATTGACAGCGACAATCCACCATCTTCACCAGATCTCGTTCATCCATTTGGTATATTGCGACAATCCACCATCTTCACCAGATCTCGTTCATCCATTTGGTATATTGACAGCGACAATCCACCATCTTCACCAGATCTCGTTCATCCATTTGATATATTGACAGCGACAATCCACCATCTTCACCAGATCTCGTTCATCCATTTGGTATATTGACAGCGACAATCCACCATCTTCACCAGATCTCGTTCATCCATTTGGTATATTGACAGCGACAATCCACCATCTTCACCAGATCTCGTTCATCCATTTGGTATAATGACAGCGACAATCCACCATCTTCACCAGATCTCGTTCATCCACATATTGACAGCGACAATCCACCATCTTCACCAGATCTCGTTCATCCATTTGGTATATTGACAGCGACAATCCACCATCTTCACCAGATCTCGTTCATCCATTTGGTATATCAATCCACCATCTTCACCAGATCTCGTTCATCCATTTGGTATATTGACAGCGACAATCCACCATCTTCACCAGATCTCGTTCATCCATTTGGTATATTCGACAATCCACCATCTTCACCAGATCTCGTTCATCCATTTGGTATATTGACAGCGACAATCCACCATCTTCACCATCTCGTTCATCCATTTGGTATATTGACAGCGACAATCCACCATCTCAGATCTCGTTCATCCATTTGGTATATTGACAGCGACAATCCACCATCTTCACCAGATCTCGTTCATCCATTTGGTATATTGACAGCGACAATCAATCCCATCTTCACCAGATCTCGTTCATCCATTTGGTATATTATAGCGACAATCCACCATCTTCTCAGATCTCGTTCATCCATTTGGTATATTGACAGCGACAATCCACCATCTTCACCAGATCTCGTTCATCCATTTGATATATTGACAGCGACAATCCACCATCTTCACCAGATCTCGTTCATCCATTTGGTATATTGACAGCGACAATCCACCATCTTCACGAGATCTCGTTCATCCATTTGGTATATTGACGGCGACAATCCACCATCTTCACCAGATCTCGTTCATCCATCCATTTGGTATATTGACAGCGACAATCCACCATCTTCACCAGATCTCGTTCATCCATTTGGTATATTGA